GACCACGACCACGACCACGACCACGACCACGACCACGACCACGACCAGGACCACGACCACGACCACGACCACGACCACGACGACGCCGACGCTACTGCTACCGCTACCGCTACCGCTACCGGTACCGGTACCGCTACCACTACGACTACCACTACCACTATCACTACCACTACCACTACCACTACTAGCTCCACTACCACTACTACTATACTACTACATGAGGACTGCTACTAATTAACCACCACCACCACCACTTGCCCACTTGCCATTTGCCCCTTTGCCGCATGCCCCAATTGCACCACTGGCCCTGTCCTATCTCCAGTTGACGTATTGACGTGCTGGCCCCACTTGCCCAAATGTTTGTATCTCCTGCGCGTCCATAGAAAATACAAAATACGGACTTCTAAGCCCTTTCTCTTTTTCCCCACTCGCCCTACATGCCCTGCCCCGGGACCCTGCGCATCCCAACAGTCAACTGGGTCAACTAGATCAACTGGGCTCAACCGGGTCAACTGGATCAACCAGGACACCCTGTTCAACCGGGTCAACTGGGACCACAGATTTACTGGCCCCCTGTGCCGACGCGCTCAATCTTCAGCTGCGCAGCTGGTCGGTAGATGATGGACCTCTATTGTCCAAACATTCTGCTGTGTATCAAGATCCGAAAGTCCACCAACTTCCCTATCTTGTGTATCGAGCTCCGGGAACCATTGTTTCACCTTTTGACTGACTGGCTTGGGCCATGAAACATATATATATATATACACATAGATTTAATATCAGACGGTTCATTTGCTCCTTCACCCTTGCCCAGCCGAGGTTCTAATTTTGGACGATTCTGGCAGCATGAATGCAGGTTCCAAACCTCCAGGCCAGCGGTCTCTCACGGAGGACGGGGCCCTCAGATCGGCAGTTAGGTTGCGCGAAATGGAGGGTTCGTTCTAGGAGGTAATGCTATTGAGCTGTTATTGGGGTTCGTTAATATACACTATGCCAAAGTCAAGTCTGCCATCCAAGGCGTCCACTACAAGATGGGAAGAACTGAAAGAAACTACGGCGCTTCTGGTGGAGATTGCCTGTTGCTTCGACAAGTTTCTTTGCCATCAAGCTCTTCCAATGGGCCATGAGGGGCTGGACTCCGCTAGTACATTGGACAACTCCTAAAGGATGGTTATAATTTTTCGGGGAATGGTTTGTGTTGCGTTTAGGTACTTTTTTGTTGGACCTGATTTTTGTTGCTTTTCTGTCGCTTCTCTATGATTTCTATCTTTTTTTGCTTTGTGGTTGCTCCTGTCTTTCTTGGCTTTTCCTTTGCTTTTATTGCTTCCCTGTGATGTCGCCTGTTTGTCCTCTTGTGGGGTGTTGTTTCCTGGCTTTAATTGCTTTTGCTTTCTAAGGCTTTGTTTCCGCCGCTTTTTATTAGTTGCTTTTAAAGCATTTGAGCTTTATTCATGCTTTTCTGGCTATCTAAACTTTTTCCTACTCTTGTTGTAGTTTTCTGCTCTACTCGTTGTTGTGTTTTGTCTCACCTTGAGAGACAACCTAAGTGCATCATATGAACAACACTCTTTCAGTCTTTTCTCGGTTCTCGATGTTTGTTCGCCCTGCGGCCGGAGTTTTTGTTGTTTTTGCCTTGTGGTCCAGTTGGTTTGCATTCTTTTGCACACAGGCCCTAGACTAGATGCCCTGAAATAATCATGGTCATGGAAAATACAGTTATTTCTTCTACAAACAGCTAGCTTTCCACTTCCACTGAGGAACGACTATAGAGAAACCACGACCGCAAAAATCCTCCCAAAAACCGCTCCTTTATGGCATTCCTTCATGATTTTCCATCTCATCTCATCCATC